CCGATTCACCCGGTTGCTGAACCCTGTCGAACAGCTTCTTACGTTCCAGCATAACAGACCCGGAGAATTCAAAATGTTTCTCGAGAGTAGTGAGAAACGCTGAAAACTCATCGGTTCCTTCGGGAACCGGCATCTCGTCAAGACGAAAAGAATCGACAATTCGTTGTCCCTCGACCCCAAGCATCGTGAAGAGAATCTGCTTCTTACGAGTGGCAGAGACAGTATCTAATCCAGTAGCACCAAGGAATGCTAAAAATGACTTTTTCCATGCTGACCAAGCTTGATACGGCGCCCCAGGGACAGCCAAAAATGCAGGCGGGGGCGTCAGACCCACTACACCCACGGCGGAACTCGTTTGCGACATGACGGTGTGTCCCCGAAAACACGTGTTGCGGCCTCAAAACTCTAACAGCGTGAGCTGTCGTTTGTTTCCATAACTTAGAGCTTTTGGCCGCACACCCCTACAGCGGTGTGAATTTATGAAACAAGATGTGGGACACCGATACATTGATGTGACTATGACAGCGAACAAGTTATTTTTAAAAGAAGGACTATGTTTAAGACATGCGGAACCAACAATGTGGTTGGAACACGCGAAAACCATGAATTGTAGCACGTTGGCTCAAAAGCTTCAAAAGGAAATGGAAATCGAACGTTAGGGCCCCAACCCAACGTTCGAATACGAGGGACACGGTGACACGTCACCGACGAAGCATACTCAAACAACAAAGTACGGTTACGTTTGCAGAAAAAGCAATGCAACGAACAAAGTTCATAAAAAAAATTAATGCTCACCGGGGCCCCACTCCCGGTAAAGCTGTTCGTGGACAAGAAAAATAGACAGACCTCGGCTACATCGCCGCCGAGCTAACCGCGCGTTCCGACGCGGCCCAAATCGAACGGAACAAAAAAAAAAAAAAAATGGAACGCGCCGGTGCTCCAGACCAATGCACCGGGACGCGGAGTCGTACCATCGCCCGAGACCGAAAAAAAAAAAAAAAAAAAAAAAACGTTTACCTCGTCGCCATTTAGTATTTTACAAAGAGAGAAGACTTGACTTGGACGCTGGGTACGAATACTGACTACAGCCTCCTGCGTGCTCGGGGGCCCAGTCCCGAGACAGCGCAGAAGGTGGAACGCTGGGTGGAACGAGTGCCGAGTATTAATTGCCCGCGCTATAACTAAACTACAAAGAAAGACGTGATGGCCGACGCGCCGACGAGCGGCTTACGGTTCGGAGGACCCGGCTGTCCCCATCGTCGCTGGACTCCGGGCCGGCGTGGCCATCAGAGACAGGATATTCCAGAAGAGGCAGACGAAAGAAAGACGCGTTTGATCCCGGGCGTGGGCTGGTAACGACTGCTCACGAAAACTCGTGAGCCCCAGTTTATTGACAGGAAAACCCAGGTGGCGCCAGTAATAAGAAATAAAAGGAAACATGGCGCCATCTTTTAAACAAACACAATAACACAAGAAGATGGCGACTGGCGCCATCTATCGCTAATCAAGATTACTACACGCCGTTTACTACAGGTACCATCAGCTAAGGGACCTAAGCTGAAGGTGCCGCTGCCGTGCGTATTGGGTATTAGAGCTGCGCTCTCAAACGACTTTACCAAGGCGCATTACTTCGGGCGTATGGACGATTTTAGGCAGCCGTGCATGCGTGCCGGCATAGCTGACCTTCAGTTTGTGTCTCCTCTTATTCCGTTCTCTTCGCTTCATCATTGACGCAGCAGAACAGCTTATTGCCGCTTTAGGTGCTACTGCGTCGTTCTGTCCAGCCTCCACAGCTTTGTGGAGGCTCGTCAATGCCCACTTCTGTTGCTCGACATCTCGGCAAGACAAGAGAAGGTCGGATATGGCGGCTCATTCTGGCGCGTGTTTAAAGCGTCTATACTAGTATGGAAAGTTAAGCGAGTTGGTATGAATCCATCTTGAAAAACAGTGCGAATAACACACGGACAAGAAGGAGAGAACAAGAGAGGACAGCGCCTCGTCCTGTGTGTTATCTCCTTCTTGTCCGTGTATTATTCGCGCTGTTTTTCAAAATCGCGTCTATACTTCATTTCAGCTAAAGCCCAGACACAGCCGAAGCTTCAAGCGCGAGATCCCGGATTTCAAAGACCCTTCCAAGCACGCGCGCTCGTGCAGTGCAAGCAGTCTTCTGGGCCACATGCTCGCACTTGTAGCATCGGTTGCGTCCGAACTTAAATTGAAACAAAATATATCGAAGCAGAGAACGAACACTGCACAGAGAACGAACGCGGCAACTTCACGGCTGTAATGGCGTTTCCATTGTACGCCGGAGAATGTCTGGCTGTGCAGATACAGGTAAATCTTTGATATCATGAATATACTAATGACTCGTATATTCTTGATATGCTGCTTCCAAGCGGTCAATAGACACGGTGGAATGGCGGCCTTTAATGCCCAGAGTAAAGATCATGTTGTCCCGATACCGAGTTTTGACTCGGTATGGACCGTCGTAGCCTTGTTTAAGTGGTTGTTGTACAGCGTCCCGTTCAAGGAATGCATGTTGCATGTCTCTTACTACGTACACTGGTGAGCGTTGCTCACCAATATACGTAGCGTATGTGTTCAGGTGGTCACTTGATACATGCACTGGCGAGCGTTGCTGTCGGCGCGGAGTATGGGGTCGGACGCATTGTTGCAAAATGAGTACCCCCATTCTATTCCCAGTCCGTTCCGGGCAATCAGAGTACTATATTTCAATTATATTCAACTCTAAAGCCTGTTTCACATGCAGCGGTTTTGGCCCTAGAGCGGCGCGATTTCTGCCGTCGCGGCGCTCGTGCCGCTTAACCGCTGGTGCTGGCCAGAGCGCCGCGACGGCAGAAATCGCGCCGCTCTATTGCCAAAACCGCTGCATGTGAACTAGGCTTTAGGTTTGGAGACAGCGAGCCCATTCCACTCACTGAATGACTGAACCGTTCTTTCCATTACTCTGATTCCTAAGCCCATCACTCTCACGCAATGACGCCACATGGCATTATAATGACTTCACGTGACGTGATGTCGTCATTAAAACATCATAACGTCATATTGACGTCACCATTACATCCTGATGGCGTCATGGAACCACGTGACGTCACAGTACTTCGTGACGGGCCTTCGTAACGGTTCTTCAGGACGATTCGGCATCCGCTCACGACCTTCTCTATACTTACGACCACGTAACCTGAGCACTCCTATGGAAGAGCCTGCTCCCGGCCGAAGGCCTAGTTTTAGCGACGCCTAGTGAGAAGCGTTCTCACTGCGCGGCACAAAAACTATACTCTGTTTCACACTTATACCCCTGTTACACGGGCACACTTAACTGCAGTTACGCTAAACCACAATTAGCGCACAATACTTGCCGACAACATTCTGCGGCGATGCAGTCAGAGCTATGGGCGAACGTGCGCTTGAGCATCTTGAGCACCCATCAAAGCACTGCACGCGCTCTCTTCACTTCTTTTGAAATAGCTGTCCGAGTATATAGTGCGACATCTGTGCTGCCACGTAACCGCAGTTAAAGCTGAGTTAACCGCGGTTAAGTGTGCCCGTGTAACAGGGGTATAACAGAAGTATTAGCGTACAACGCTGTCAAAGCTACTGGCGTGAGCATGAGGCTTAATCTCCTTGATCATTTGCACACGTGCGCGCGCGAACAAAACCATAGACAAAGCCACGCGCTCGCGCCAGTAGCTTTGACAGCGTTGCATGCTAAGTACGAAACGGAGTATAGGTCCTCCTGTCTCGTCCGGTTTTTCTGTTATCTGGGAGTGCGTACCAGCTGATCACGCGTTCTGATTTCAAGAGCGTTTACGCTGTAATATATTTTGCTCCATGGAAAGGATACTGAAAAAGTCCAATTTGTTAATTAGTTTTCTTTTTTTAGTTTACGCAGCCAAGACGATATGGTATTAGCTACGCCAACGAAAACGAAAAGAAGAAAAAGATAAGAAAGCAAGAATTACGAAAACAAAGGCAGCAGAGGGTCACGGGAGGAAAGAAAAAGAAAAAGAAGAATTAAAACCGTAGTTGGTAGTCCAGCGGAGTGTCTATGTCTTTTTCTGTCCCTGCTTCTCACGCTTCATCTCTCCTCTAAGTTCAGCTGGCCCCAGTCCAAGTAAATTAGCTACGCCTCCGCGCCGCCAACACAGCATGGTGCAGCACGGAAATAACGAAACAAATATCGAATCCACAGATCTCTTACAGCTATATCGTTCTTCTTTCGTATTTTAAAACAGTAAACTTATCTTTCAGTTCCTCCAAACACCGACACAGCATGTGGTGGTGGTTCGAATTCGTACGCTTGTTGCGCAGGTCTGTATATATAGCAAAATCTCGGTATGCAAGAAACGTCTCCATGAAGCTACCCGTCACAAGCGAATTTAGACCGGCTCGCCAAGAATGGAGCGGTCAAGAAGAAATTGCTCATTTCACGGACCAAAATGGCGATCATACAATACTTTCCCACAATCTAGTGACTTTGCTTCCTGCCCGACCCCAGCCTCGCGCAGGACGCTCTTTCAAGCGCCAGCTCGTGCGTCTTCGGCCGACCGCTCATTACGTGTCCTCCGCCTCGTCATCTTTCAGCCTCGTCTCCCACAAGACTCATTTGAATGATCGAGATTATTTCCTGTGCTTATACAGAAAAATCAAATATTTAGTGCATGATGCCTTTAAATTTTGCTTTCTGAATTAAACTAATATTTTGCCTTATATAGAATATATTCGAATAAAAATAATTTGACACATATAATACTTCTTGAAATAAAATAAAATAAAAACTATTCTCATATGCACCAGGGACATCGTCGTCTTTAGAAAACTAGATCTTTTTGATCAAACTCATCACTTTGAGGGTGCCCACATTTTCAAAACTCTATCTACACGAACAGCATTATTTATTCAGGCAGGGACTATTGCAAGATTCTTCAAAGCAACAGGAAACGCCGCAGTCAACACGACCCCCGAACACATTGGAGGTCTTACGAATCTGTCCACTGGGAGTCCCTTTGCTCACTCTCACCTCGCAAACTGCGGTAGCAATTCCGTGCAATGGGGTACGAGGGACCACACAACCCGTTGAAATCATCGTAGCCCACCTCCCAAAGGGCGAAGCATCCTACATTCGCCTTGCGTTTCACGACCCTCATGATGTTCCTTAAGTTGTCCGGGCCGTGGTAGCCCACCCACTGTTTGCCCTTCACCGCGAACGTGGCGAAGATGTCAGCACTAACCAAGGACCAGTTGCCGGTGCACACCTCGTTGTAGGCGAGTATACCTGGAACCTTGGTGTAAGGGCCCGGGGAGCCGGGCCCCACTGTTGCCGCTCCAACGTGTTGGTGGTCCCGATTCCGCAGCGTAAATGTGAGGCCGACCAGGGGCAGTACGAAGCAGGCTTTATGGAAGACAGTCTTGCCCATTTCCGAACGAACGGCCTTGGGGAAACGCGTCACGTCTTCGCTCGTAACTGGAAACGTCGTCTTTCGAACGGTCGAGTTGATTTCGCTGTACAATCGGAAGAGCAGAAAGTCTGCCAGCTCTCCAAGTTTGGCGACATCAAAGCCGGTTCTACGAACTGTTTGTCCGTGCGGAAGAGTAAGAGCCAAGATTAAGCGCTTAGGCGCAAAACGGGATTTGACTTCTCGCACCATGTCTGTAAGCCGCCAGCGATCTAACTTCCGGGGATACCGCCAGTTTATCACAACACCGTCGAATGTCTTGCTCATCACCCACCGAGCCAAATTTTGGGCGAACGTCCTAATGAGGCTGTGCTCGGACACCATGTCCCTTAAGGTCCTCCAGTCTTCCCAGGTTTCGCCTAGTGCTACGAGTAGCTTGACCGCAACGTGGCGGTCTCGAAGCGCTAAGAACGTTTTATACGCGCCCTGATCCCTATCGTAGGGCTCATCAGTCCATCTTACCATAAAGGTGCTGTCGATGCCCGCTGCGGCGTAAATGATGTGCGTGCAAAGTCCGGCAGGTATCAGGAGCACGTCGAAGGTCATCGGTGATTTTCTGCGGTACGAGGTGTGGTTGAAGAAACAAAAGAGGAGGTGATCTGTAGGGCCAGGGTTCTCCAGTTCCGATCCTCGGAGGGCACTTTGACTCCGGACAGATTGCGGCACTGCGAATGTTGATGCCTTGAAGTCGTAATCTGCGGTTGGGGTACTAGTCAAGTTGACACTCACTTTGTCCAGTCGCTTGAACACCCGCTGAGAAGAGTGGCTCGTGTTACCCGCCTGGCACTCGATCGCCGGTGCGTACCGGTAGACAACCTTCTCTACCGGCGACGTGAGGTTGCTGCTGGAGGTCCGGAAGAAGAACATCATGCCCAGGAGGTACATGGCGAATACGACGAAGATGCAGAAGCTGATGCGCGTCACGTAGAGCATGGTGTTGGACTTGGCCATCTCTGTTTTGTAGAAGTTGAGGAGCCGGTCTTCATCCTCCCCGTCCGCGGACCTCTCGGTCCCCTCGAACGAGGAGTGAGTTGAGGCTTCGGAGAGTGGCGTTACGTTGGTAGCGTGGGAGGATCTGTGAGAGCTACGCGGCCGCCGAAGCTTGAGAATGCGGTGCGCAGGCGCGTGCTTACAGGCGACTCGTGATAATTGCTTGGACGCCATGTTTCCTCTGTCTTCACTTTACGGCGAAGAAGAGGAAAACTGAAAAGTGTGTATTGCTTTGCCGGTTAAAAGATGTTTCGTACTGTTAGGGTTGTTTTGTTTTAATACAGACACTGTAAAATTAGTATATAAACTCTGCTAACATACTATTATGGTTTCAGTGTCGAGCTTGCCTCCTGGTCAATCAATCCTTCAGCAAGCAGGAGAATCGCTATGGTTATGTTTTAGTTTGTCGCCGCTCCGTGAAGCTTGATTATGGTATTCTTCCGCAACGTGCATTCCACACCATAAATATTGTTTCTCTTGGTAGAAAATAAATGGGATGTATTTGTGCTGCAGACCGCTTTTAAAATTATGCTCTCGACAAGGGGAACAAAACGCGACTTTCACAAGGGACATCCTTGAGGTCGCAAGGTGCAGGTGCAATATGCATCTTCAAGAAACAGCCTTCAAGGAAATAAATGTTAACGCTTTACGGTTTTCATTTTTTCGTCATAGAGCACAATTGGTGGCGCAAAGATGTGAAGCGCGTCATTTCTACAGAAAATATCTATGCTCGGGGAGAAACTTTTGTGACAATTAACTCAAAGTTATGAGCGCTCGTACACTGGCGAACGTTGAGCTGCGATCATAGGTTAGCATGCTACAACTAACCTTTTTGCCTTAAATTCCCCAAAACGCCGCGATCACTTGTATGAAGACGTGCTTTTGCTTAACCATCGTCATACTTCATACTTTATTGGACTAGAAAAAAAGAAGAAAAGGAAGTAAGGAGGGCATGCGCTTTTCCGCAGAAGACGCTCGCCCTCGTTGCTTCGTTTGTTTAAAGTGCAATAAGTAGATGAAGTGTGAATTATGACCATTGGCTTCAGTGTACGTCGTGGTGAATTTATTATACGTCCACGGCACGTGAAGGCGCACTGTCATACAGCCTTCGCAGGGGGGCTAGATTTTTTCTTCCACCACAGCTCGGTTGGGTCGCTGGCATCAACGGGTAAATTACTTCAAAAATGTAATTTAACTACAATTACAATTACTTTGCTTCAAAATTAGTTTAACTAGAATTATAGAATTACAGTTACTATCCCAGGCAGCACACAATATTGAGCCCATATTCGCCTCGGGTCGGGAAAGTTGTGCAAGTACTGCCGATATTTCCGTTGTATCGGGAAAATTGTGGCGGTATACCATTTTGATATTGCCGATGTCGACGGTAGATCTATTATGTTGAGGCGACACAACCATGATATATATTGTACACGAACCGTGTTTTGCCCTGAATATCGTTTCTGAATCGGCAATAACTGCGCAGTATTAGGCATTCTGGGCCGATTCGAAAATGATATTGAAAGAAAGCCGGTAGTATTTCGACACCGCCGACGTCCACGGAATATCTGTTATATTGCACCGACGCAAACGTGATATAAAGTGTACGCAAACTGCGTAACCTCTACACGATTGTTTATTTTTCTTTACTTCCAAAAAGAGAACTTGGAAAGGGAGAGGGGGAGAGACGGGACGACACGAGCGAGAGAGGAGGCATAATAAGGGTTAGAGTGAACCCAACCTTTTAGTTCAACGAATTCCGAAACTATAGAGACGTGACCTCACGTGACCAGACTGATTGGCGCCCTCACTACCTTCACCGCCGAGTTGGCCGAGTCGCCGAGTTTCCGACACAGCGACACTTCGATTTTGCAGGGATCGCGATTGTAGCTTTGTGCGCGGCCGTCATACATGCTTTCGGATCAGAACTCGTGGTCGCTGCTGTTTCATTTGAATTACTATAATATAACAAGTCTTCACAAGGTATGCTTGGCGTTTGGCTAGTGAGAAAGATGTTATACTTGACGCAGAATTCAACCTGCATCACAGCTTCGGTTCAAGTTTTTATGCCGAATGTTCCTTATATGCAGCTTGCTTCAGAGTCCGAGTTGAGGTTTGCGCGGATAGCAACGTTGATCAATGTAGTCAACGTTTTTCGAACATGCACGGAAAACGTTGTACCTTCTGTGATATTGAGTGAAGTACCTCTTGATCGACCAGGTACGGAAGGTTTCAAGACTGACTTTTGTGCACTGTTGTGTGTAAGATTTCCGATAGCAAGTTTATTACTTCTAATGTGTATGATTTACGTAACAATGGAATGCCTTAGGTTGGCAAAAGAAGTGAGTTTGAAGCATTTATGACATACAGGCAGACAACGCCCCCTTGAAGTACTTTTAACGCGAGGCAGAATACACATAATGTCAGACCAATATTCATAAACGTTCACCACACCAACGATATAAAAAATTCCCCATGGTTGGTGAGTTAATTTTTTTTTCGTCTGTTCATTCCGCAGGCAGAGGTGCCAGACATCCCCACTTTGTCTGTCCCTCACATATACGCAACAGCTGAGAAGATTGTCATTTACGGCGGAAAACCAGGAGAACTTGTTCCACTGAGTGATCCCTGCACACTGGAGAAAGCCCTCGTGATCTACCTTGCCATCTATTAGATTAGAAACATTCACTACCCTCCATCGTAAACCGGAGACAAGGAAAAATAAAAAAACGGACAAAACAACAACAAGTCTCAAACACAGCTTCTAGTTTATTTGAACACCTCCTCTCTTATATATACACAACAACCCTCCTCTCCAAAGGTCGACACACCTCCTCTCCACTCCATCAACGACATCTCAAATTGAACCAATGACACATGCTACCTCCCTTCCTTTCATACCAACCAAAAACTGACCCCTTTCCAATCCAAGAAACAGGCACTCAAACCCTGCTAACAATGAAAACACCCCCCCCCCCCCACAAAAAAAAAAAAAAGATAAGTTTTACGGAACCGACCAGCCACAACTGATAACAGGCCTATCGAACAGACACGGTGTTAGCATTCAACCACCCCTCAAAAAAAAAAAAAAAAAAATTAAAGACATAGAAAGCGTTTCAGTTCACTTCCGAAACCCAAGGACGGTGTGCTGACACAATTGCCACGCTCCAAAATACATAAAGTCTCCCTCACAACTCTCCTACCATTTTCTTTCTCTTTATGCAATACCTGGGTATCCCCCCACTCAGGCTGACAGTGATTGCAGTCTACAACATGTTTAGCTATTTCTGAATTCTGCGCATTGTCTTTTACCGCCCTTTTATGTTCCAGCAACCTATCATTCAAACAGCGACCAGTTTGGCCTACATAAGACAATCCACACCGCAACGGAATGTCGTATACAACTCCTACTTGACAAGTTAAATCAGGGTTTTGGTGTTTCTTTAGGCAACCCTGACGACCACCCGAAAAGGGGGTTAAGCTTTCCAATTTATGTTGTGCCTTGAAAACTAAATTTACTCCGAACCTCTTGGCCACTGACTTCAAATTGTGAGATATTCCATGATAGTAAGGCACACAGACCACATTTTTCACAACCGGTTTTTCTACCGGAGCCGAACTGAACTTTCTTAAGTGTCATTGGTGTCATTGGTTCAACTGTGTCATTGGTTCAATTTGAGATGTCGTTGATGGAGTGGAGAGGAGGTGTGTCGACCTTTGGAGAGGAGGGTTGTTGTGTATATATAAGAGCGGAGGTGTTCAAATAAACTAGAAGCTGTGTTTGAGACTTGTTGTTGTTTTGTCCGTTTTTTTATTTTTCCGTGTCTCCGGTTTACGATGGAAGTTCTTCACCAGCTCGCCTGTGCTTTTACCCTTTCTTCGTTCACTACCCTTTCGCACTTGTGCAGCCGTTTATACTGCTCCATTTGTATTTAATAACTTTTCACGTAGTACCACGTGAAATGTAATTATTTACAAATTACTCTTAAAAAGCAATGCAAGAATTTTACAATTACAAATTTCTGGGAGCTACCCGACTTGGGCCATATAACTTTAAACGAGTTTTATAGATTGCAACGTAATTATTTGTTCATTCCTTGCCCCAATGTTTCAGGAGGCTTAAGCATCGCTGCATAAATTCCACGAATTGTACTTTTCTTTTATGATTTTGTTAAACTCATTATAGAACTTAACAGCTTAGGGCAATGAAGTACTACGTTCTTATATTTTGAATAAATAATTATAAATTAGTTCATATGCTGAAAGACGCCAGATCTCTAAAGAAAAAAATTGGGTCGACAGATTTTTGTTACCCAGGCAAATAAAAATGTGACAATTAGTCATATAGGACTATTTTATAAGTATCAATATAAAACTAAAATCGACACGAGTTAATACGACCGCATTCACATAGAAACATTATGGTATTGTGAATTTTTTACATTGAGTTGAATTTATAATTGCTCAGAAATAAATAAGAACTGAATCAGGGCTCCCTTATCAGTGACAATATTCACAGGTGCGAGGTCAGTCTCCAAAATGCTTATGCAAATAATATCCGAAGTAAAACCAACAGGAAATAAACTTGAAAATATTACAAAGATACAAATATGCGACGGTACTGGAAGACATGCATAAAACACTTTCGAAAAAAGAGAGAATAACAACTTCATAAACAATTAAAGTTCCCAAACTCGGCTGAAAGCTGAACTTGGTTTTTTTTCCCCAATATTTTGGCATGTTTGCGTCATTGTTTTATGCTCACACCGCAGACGGCGCTAAACGGAGCCGTTGAGGCAGACTCGAAAGTGGATTGTCTCTCAGCCCCCCAGTATAAGCAACAGAAGAACAATGCGACGCTATTTTTTTTTGCGTGTGCGTGTGAGCGCGTGTCTGTGTGCAAGTGTTCCACCGAGAGCTAGGCGGGTTGTGCGGGCGCTGACGCGTTCAGAGAGTTTCTG